AATTTCCACATGACTCAGTGAAAATCAGGTGGAATCCACTGCCGCGACATGTCAATATTGAAAAAAGTATTTATTATAGATTATTACACACTGGCGTTCATTGGCAAGTGATAAATAGATAGAGTGAGATATGTTGAGGCCCGGAGTAGATGCCTCTTTGGTGTTGTACACCCGTTGCACGACGCCGTTGTATACTCACGTTTGCAAGATTATCTTGTGAAATTATGACTGAGGGAAGGCTCGTCGGTGGCTTCCACGTTACATAAACCATACCCCGTCGCACCGAATTGGGTGCACGCGCTGGGTATAATATTCACCACCTCCCGACGTCAACGGCCCGTGAAATTTCTACTCCTCCATAATAAACCCCTTTGTAATTCCTAAAGAATCTAGAAGAAAAATTCATCATCTTTCACTCATTTACTCCACACCAATAAACAATATGAACAATATGAACAATCAATACCATTTTTTTTTCGTCAGCCAATAAATCTGTTTTTAATAAAATTTATTCAAGAATTTTTGCTTTTTTTATTTAACTTTTTGTTTAGCTTTTATGTTTATGTAATCGCCAATTTTTCACCTGAGTTTTTTATTTTATGTGAGTTTGAATTTAATTTCAAATAAAAAGTTTTTATGTCAGAGAATTTTTGGATTTTTGATAAAATATTTGACATAAAATAGGAGTCAGGTTTGAGTGGAAAATTGAGATTAATTTTATATATTTTAAACATTTTTTAGGTATTTATAAATCTGAAAACTGATAATTCAGTAGTGAAATGGTAAATTAAGATAAGTGATTTTTTTTCGTGACCAGTTTTTAAGCAATACCTCGGAGCAGAAGCAACATGACGAAATTTTTGCAATAACTTTTTTTTTAGATAACGATGAGAGCTATAAAAAAGATATTCATGAAAATATCGTTATCTTCCTTCAATTCCAAGATATTGGCTGTAAATTGGCCTCGAAAAAAAACGCACTTATCCTAGTTCACAATTTTGCAATAGAATAATATATTTATACTTGAATCTTCAAAGAATTAACTGATTCTTCAATAAAAAATTGAAGTTTTCTATCTTCAAATTTCTAATGAATCAATTTTTGCAAAATATTCTGCTCTGACTCCGACCTTCTCCGGCGCAATTATGTCAAGAGATAATTGATAATTAATAATTAACGAAAAAACTAAAAAAAACCTTCCTGCAACTTCGAGAACTAATCGATCAAAATCTCTCCTCACGTTGAGTCTTTAAACTGAAATTTGCTTCGCTCTTCAATCTCTCCCCAACTCCACCCCTAATAACCAATTACACGCATAGGTATTAATTATTAATAGCTGAATGCAACAAATGGCTTTTTGACACTTCTTCCGCTTGTACTAACCCCTGCATAATTATTTTCTGTTTCAGACGCCATGGGTAAGTGGAAAACTCACGAAAAGTATTAGAAAATGAGAGATAAAACGGCGGTAAGACAATGAATAATAAACAATGTAGATCACACTTTGTTATTTAACTAAATTTCGTATTCTGTTTAGCGAGGGCTTAATACGTGGAAGGAAACAATCGTGCGAATTCCGGTAAACGCATCCGTCACTGATAACACAACAGGCGTGTCTCGGGGTCTTATAGTTTAATTGCATTAATTAGAGCTTAGACGGTGCGCATCGTATCGTATCGCTTCGTGTCTGGAGGTCGGGCCTCTAGTCATAAATCTAATGTTCTTCTTTTTCCCGGGTTTAGGGAAATTTCTTGAATAATATTCGTTCACGACCAATTATCATCCACCGAAAATTGATTTCAATCTAACCATCAGACAAATGAATTTGCAGTTGCAATTGAATTTCAAAAAAATTTATGACGAACGAACGATTCGCCAGTAAAAGTTAAATCATGACCAATTCTCCGTGCCCAAAAACAGTAAAAAGGTCAAGATCAGAGTACAATCGAGTTTTTTAGCATTTTTTTTTATTAACACATCTTATAATTTAAGGTTAATATGGTTATCCTCATCACTGATCGTTTAGATGTCCTGAGCTATCGTATTTCAATCACTTTGACAGTCTCAAGGATCTATTAGGAGAAAATATGATTGGATTAATTATTTTAATTAATACCACACGTTATAGCCCCTGATGAACGGTGATTTATTGAAAAATACGAAAAAAAGGCATTCACATGCACTATTACTATATTACTTTAGCGAAGCCTATTCAAATGCCTGACGCAAATTAATTCAGCGAGATTATTTTTTTTTTTCATTGAATAAAAATTCATGGAATGCGAATTTTCATAAACAATTCGATTTGATTATTGTAATACATCGATATTTATCGAAATTAATTAAAGTGTGAACATAATTTAATGGTTTAAGAAAATTCGGAGTAGAATTGATTCTCAGGAATAGGCCCTTCTTTAATTTACAATATAAATTTATACATTTTTCTTTAAAGTTCGCTTTCTAATTCTTTATAATTAATTAATTAATAAGAATAACTGATCACATGAGTATGTCAAGTGCATTCCTCGAAGCGTTATCTTTCTTTAAAGTGTCATAACAACCGCTCCTTTGAGCTTCCACAGAGTAAGAAGACCCCAACTCGTCTCTGATAGCAAAAAAAAATTCCCGAAATATCAGCAGTAATAATTATCAATTGAAAATATTTCACCAACAAATAATGGAAATAGCATTTAAAGCGAAGAAACTGATACCGCAAGTGACTTCTTCGGATAAGACCAATAAATCGAGGCCATTGAGGGGTGGGTTAACGATAATCTTCAGTAGTTTCTGATAATTAGAATGCAAATGGACGGTTTGGACAGAACATGCGAGATTGTCTTGACTAAAAAAACATGAAAACATAAGGGAGAATGGTATGAACTCAAGTGTGTTGCCCACCCATCGTCAAGTTGATGCCGTATGGCCAGATCTGAAAACAGTCGGTTTGCAGTTTTGAGAGGGATGAAGGGTATGGATGGAAGAGTGGGAGGAACGTTAATGCGTTTTCAGTCCTGGAAGCAGTAAAGCGATGCCTTTTATAGCTCGTTATTCCGCGAAAACCGATGAGAATGCGGAGACCATGCGCTCAACACCGTGTGGCTTCAGTCCACCATCACCATTTACACGCTTCTGTTCTTCTGTCATCTCACATTTTCTTGCTGAATTTTTCAGACGATTTATAAACACCACTACTCACTCCTCAAGTTCCGGCGTCATTCTTTCATTCAATTTTAGCAATTTTTAATTATCTTCAAGTCGAAATTAATCTGAATAGAATCACTCGACTATAAGTTCACTTATACCTCATTTTTCACTATTTTTTTT